CCACGTCAGCCACCGGACAAGGCAGCAGGTGGGCGGAGGGGGGAGGGCAATGGGTGGAAACTAATCAAGGAGAGAAGCAACTTAGAACTGAGGAGAAATTTCCTAACAGTTAGAACAATTAATCAGTGAAACAGCTTGCCTCCAGAAGTTGTGAATGCCCCAACATTGGAAGTCTTTAAGAAGTGTTGGATAGCCATTTGTCTGGAATGGTATAGGGTTTCCTGCCTAGGCAGGGGGTTGGACTAGAAGACCTCCAAGGTCCCTTCCAACTCTGCTATTATATTTGTATTGTATTGTAATCTGTGTGTGAGAGAGAGCGAAAGAGGGAGAGGGGGGGGAGAGATGATTTGCAGAGAAAAATAGGTGGATCTTCAATCATACCATTGTAGCCATAATCTTGACATTTTTAAACCATACCCTGTAGACATCCTTTGTTCCAGAAGTCTATTTCCAGCTTTACCCACTCAAAAACTTTTGAAAAACTCTGACAAAAAAACCTCATTTTTAAGAGGCATGCTGTTTCTGATTATGGCAGGTACTTTTTGATGGCATGATTGTAGCCTTTAGTTAATTTAATCACTACGAAATTGCCTAATCCCTTTGTAAAGGGGCTAAAGTCAGTAATTTGTACCCTCTTCATCAACTGGGAATTCCTCACATTACTTAATTTTCTTTAATTGCTATCAAACTATTTCACTTGATGTAGGATTACAGGGTTGTAGAAGAACATTATATGTCGCTTTTCTTCCTCTTTTCCATTTTTATTAATTTTTTTATGTCTCCCCTATCATCACCATCATAGATATCATTTCTCTGTATAAGTTAAGAAGCATTATCCTCTTAACATTTATATTAATGTTTTTCATTGTTCCTTGCCCTTCTCCTATAACAGTTTACTTGAAAGCCCAAACCGTCTAGATGAAGAACATAGACTGATCGCCCGGTATGCTGCAAGACTGGCAGCAGAGACTACTTCATCAGTAAGTAATTTTAATTAGTGGGAAAGATGTTTTTTATATATATGAAAACCTTTGCCAAGACAATCCTTGTAATTGCAGTCTGGCTTTTCCCTTGGATGTGCTTGTTTGCATCTAATGAATCTAAATATAGTTAAAGAAAAATTGGTACAAGCACCAGCCCTACCTTTAGGCAACTGAAAGAATTGTCTCAAATAGTGGATAGTTGATGAAGTGCAACTGTGGCAGCCATTTATGTATTCCTCCTGAAATATCTGTTTTTTTCTGAGAAGTTAGAGTTCTTTATGCTACAGAACTAGTTCCGAGTGTCCTGAAGGAACCTCTTTCCAGTTGTATGGTTACTAAATTAACGAAATCTACTAATGTAGTATGTTTGTATAAACATACCATGTTTCCCTGAAAATAAGACAGGGTCTTATTTTCTTTTTATCCCCAAAATAAGCACTTGGCCTTATTTTCGGGGAGATCTTATTATTTTTGAGGTGCAGGAGGCAGAGTGTAGTCACCTCATGGCTGTTGCTGTGTTGCAATATTTTCGTGGAGGGCTTATTTTAGCGCATGCGCTCAAAAGCCTGATTGGGCTTATTATCCGGGGAGATCTTATTTTTGGAGAAACAGAGTATATACTTCACATTCTTAGTTTCTGCTTGTGGAAAATATTTAGGCCCTTCAGTGTCTTACAGCTGTAATTTTTTAAGCATTTTAAGTTACGTTATTTCATTATTCAGTGTTTTGTTGTTTTAGCATTGTTTTTCAAATTGTATTTTTGCTCTTTAAAACAGGGTATGAATTTATATGTAAAATAAACAAATGACAATTATTAGTAGCAATAACAATATTAATAAGAGCTAGCAAATTCTAAAAATCAAAACAAATTGTCCTATTAAAAGTCTTCTGTGAGATTAAAAAAAAATCTGGTTTCTTGCTTTGCGCACAGTCTTTGGTGTTGCTAAGGCTGGGCTTTTGAGGTTATTTGTCTTTGCTTCTTTTTTGTTTCAAGGCTTTGAGAGAGCACCAAGCTTCATTCACTTAATTTCTTTGTAGTATTAGAAAACAGACTTCTCATCTTAAAGAAAAAACCCAAATGGTAGCTTTGGGAGGTGCCCATTGAAGCAGATGCAATTTCTAAGTATAAACGAAGAGCTTTGTAGATTTGATATTGCAGGGACAACAAAGGGAGAAGCTCACCCAACAATGTAGCTTTAGGGTAAAAGGGCCTTCAATGAGCAGGTGGGCTTTCTTCTTCTTTCACCCCTGTGTGCTTTGAAATTTCTCTGATACATATTGAAGATACCTTAGTTTTTTGTGTGCCTCAGAAAAATGATCTGTACTTTATTGTTAAGGTTTGGAGTTGGTTTGGAAAGCCTTGAATCAATATAATATATATTGTATCTCATGTAAACAAAGAACATTAGTGCAGAATAAATTCTTGCCACAAGCAAGTTATTGATTATACAGCAACTCATTTGATAACATTAGGCAATGGGTGATTACCTAATACTATAGTGAAATTTGTTTTCCAATTTCTAAAAACTTACTTTAGTTCTCAAAGAGGCTTCTGGTCATTCCCTCAGATTTAATTAATTTCTTTCAATTTTTGTGATATTTTTGAATCTTTTTAGGGTAGAGGAATGTGCATGTAGGTGTCTACTATGCACGCTTGAATCATTGTGTATGTATCTTATTTGCCTGTGCTTTCTTATTAGAAGCATTATAGAAGGTTCCCTTAAGATGCTATTCCTTAAGATTTAATTTCAAGCCTATAAAATCAAAAGAAGCCACAGATCACTAAATAGATTATAATATAATGTACGTCTAAGGCAACTGCAACAACTGTGTACCCCATCTATGTGAGATTTGGTTTCACCAAATTGTTTTTCTTTGAGGGGGAAAAGCCTAGAAATCTGCTTCTGGTAATTTTTGTTGCTTTTTCCTCCCCTTCAGCAACAGAAGAAATATTACGTACTAGGTATAATTATCCCTCAGTAAAGTGTTAACTGTGCAACTAGCAATTGGCAGTATCATAGAAAATCATTTTTTTAATTAAAAGTTTTTTTTATTTTTATTTTTCAAAACAGACACAACACAAAAAATCCTCTTTCTTTACATACTGTAGAAAGTGTATTAGTTGGTTACAAAAAAAAATTGTGGTTTCTTTCACAGTCACCCATGATTCATATTAATTCTAGTATTTTAAATCAAATATATTTGTACATATTACCATCATCCTACCCCCATTTTCATTTGACTGTAATTGTTTAAACCCATCATAAAACATACCAAAACTCAAGGCATAACCACATACTGGCATCACATTGGCTATTTCTAATATCCCAATAACACTATTCCTTAT